ATTTGAAAGACAGAGTTAAAAGACAATTCTATGGTATAAATGTACATTTGTAGGTATTTAAGACCGCGGAACATTAACTGGCAAGATTGGAAATATGCAGATTAATTCATTTCTATCTGTTACAATCAAAACATTCAGTGATATACAATGAAATGGGCGGGTACAATTCGACGCGGACGGCCGAAAAAACACTGGATTGAAATTTTCTTTTGAATTTTTTTCAATCCACCTCAGCTACACTAGAAGGCACATTACTATTGATTGACCAAGAAGACAAATTTAATTTCGGTATAGTTTGAAAATAATATATCAATCAGAATTTTCTGTCCAGTATTTTAAAGTTGAGCTCCAAACTCCTCAGATAAGATGTTTCCTTCCATTTCTTTCAAAGTTTGTGAAAAAGGAAACGGGATGAGTGTGTGTGTGGGGGGGGGGGGGTCATGGCGCGTATTCAATTTTGTTTTCCACTTGTTGGAAAGGCCCTAGAAGTGGTGACTGGAGAACGACTCATTTATTATAAACAAAAAAAAAAAAAAAAAAAAAAAGAAACGAAAAATGAGGATACGAGGGAATTAATTAATTCGACAGAATTCTGCATTCACATAAAAGTGAAAAGTTTATTGATTAAGAAATAAAACTATGCATTTGGATATTGTAGGTGTTCAAACAGGTTGATTTATATCTAAGTATTTTAAAAGTTTTATTTTTATATTTGCATAACTCTTGTTAGATTAGAAAATTAGAAAGCATTAATCATTCATTTTAATTATATTTGTCATTTTTCATTAGAGATATCTTTGCCATTTCATTTACATCAATCTAAGGCCACAACTATGTTTTCTTCCCTCGGACCTGCGCGATCACATTTTATAAAACTATATATAAATAATATTATTTTAAATTTCCCAAAACGGGAAAATTATATGCTAATTTCTGTTCTATTTCCGCTCTATTTTCGAAATTTAAATCTGCTTACTTGTATACAAGTCAGAAAAAGTATATAAAACAAATATAATTGTCCGTGCATTTTTTTTCATGTTCTGACCATATAACAACCAACAGCAATTAAAAAAGTAGTAAGTTATAAGAAATATACTATATTGCAATATTTGTCTTTGATTTTTTTTTCACAGCCTTAAATTAAGAATTACAAATTTGCGGCAATATAGCCTCTCTGATAATGTTAGCATTTTGTGGGGCGTTTCCCAAGCATCTGTTTTGGTCCATGTTAAGAGCCATTCTCTGTAATGACTTGAATTTTTATATAGGAGCTGTGGCACGCATAGTCTCAGAATTTCTCCAAACTCTCTATGATAAAAGTTATTGATACCCTAAACTGAAATCAGGCAAAAATTGGTTGCTATGTTTTATAGTTACCATGGCAACATGTCTTAAAGTTCGAAAAATGGCATTTTTTAACATGTGTAGAGCCCCATAATTAACATTTGCGGCAAAGCAAACAATTGGCAATGACTGTTTCCAAAAGTTGAAGGTCAGATGTCTCAAATGCATGATAAACATGTTTGGTAAATCAGCTATTATATACGTTACTATGGTAACAAAGTATTCAAAAGTAAAAAAAAAATCACTGAATTTTATAAAGTCATACACCTAAAAATAAAAAGCAATTATAGGATGAAATGTGACCAAATAATAGAAAAAAGAGCCTTGAAACATATACCAAGAACAAAATATGAAATTTCATTTTGGATGGCAATGGTTGCCAAGGTTTTTATACCATAGAGAGCCTTCAAAGTAGCACTCTGTATGTTTAAATCTGATCCTATCTTTTAAAAAAGCACATTTCCTCATAACTAATGATCAATTTTTAAAGATGTTGGTGTGCTCCTAGTTTTCCCATTTGAAAAAATTCAGATTAGATTCATTAAATAGAGCGTTGCTATGGAAATAAGCAGAAAATATATGCTTAGAAAACCTGAAAAATATTTTCTTTCCTTGGATACGTACCCTTAAATGTAGATTCCCAAAACTTTTATGATTGATATTTATTAACAGCTAACCTGACTTTTAATTTTGGCTATCATCCAATCTCTAAGTGGATGCAAGAAATTGGCACACAGGGCTTAATATTGATATAAAGTTCACAAAATCGAACATTTTCTCTTCTTGGTAACCATAGCAACAGTGTTGTTTTCTTCATCAAATTTTATCAATATACGATATTCAAATTCAGTTCTAACAGATAAGTACTATTCAAGCTGAGTCCTTTAATTTGTTTCTTGATTATATGGCAATTTAATTCTTAATGCAGCGAAAAAATTTCACTTTTATGCACTGGTACTTTGTTCCCATGGTAACACTGCAAAGAAGCAATTATACCCAATTTTTCTTATGGTTTTGGTGTTGAAAGGTCCTAAGGATGCATATTTGCAAGTCTTGAATTTTTATGTTTTTCCTAAAGACAGTAGCATTAACCTAACCTTAGTTACAGTTTTTGCATGGTTACACTGTGTTACCATGGCAACCATAAAAGTTATTTATAGAATAATATTGCTTATACTTATATACTTAAGGTCAAACATTTTCATTGTTTTTCTTAAGTCGTTGATTGAGTTTGAGTATGTAACACCTACCATTAGTGAATACGGAGTGTTTTTCAGCATATTTCAGCATTTTAAATGTATTCCAAATGTACCCTTGGTTACCACTTACTTAGAGATATATTCTAACCAGTTTCTTTACAGTATAAGTGACATCAAGGTGTCATGTTTTTGTGAGAATGGTTTGTTTGCTTTTTCTAGTTTTTATTAAGCCACAGTCAAGATTTTAAGTGGTTGAAAATCTCGATTTTTCAAATTTTTCCAGCTGTTGCCATAGCAACCGAGACTCTTAGCAACGAAATTTTGTTTGATATTTGTTTCTGGTGTCAATTACTAAGCATGGGTGAAGTTTCATCAAAATCGGTGACCATGCGTGGCAACGAAGTTTAAGTGGTTACAGAGAATGGCTATTAATAGTCCTCGTCCATTCGTCAATCGCCTGTACGCTGTCTAGCTCGCTCAAATTATTTAGAACACAGCATGCTGTGACAACATCCACGAAAAAGGGAAGTTTCCCATCAAATCTTTTCGAAAGTTTTCTCCATCTAGATTTGAGTCTTCCAAAAGTATTTTCTATAACCATTCGTGCGCTTGAGTGTTTGAAATTGTATTGTGCTTTTACCGGATCAAGATTTCCTTTAAAAGGTGTCATAAGAGAATTTGACAACGGGTAAGCAGCGTCGCCAATGAGATGTAATGGTACGTTTACAGTATCAATTAATAAAGAAAGTTGCGGTAAAAAAGTTGACATTTTTTTGCATATAGAGGAATGTTTGTATATTCTAGCATCATGCATGAGCCTTTCCAGGCCAACCAATATATACGTCCAAAAATCTGTAGCGATGGTCTGAAACGGCCTGCATAACTATTGAATAGAAACCTTTCCGATTATAATAGTCATTTGGATTTTCGGAAGGTGCCAAAATCTGAAAGTGAGTACCATCAATTGCGCCTATTGTTTGGGGAAAACCTCGGAAATTAAAACCATGTACAATATCGCTAGCTTCCTCCTCAGTTCTAGGGAATCTTATAACTTTTGAACACATGTTTTTCAAAGCAAATACCACATCATGGACGATTTTCCATACAGTTGATTTTCCACAGGCAAATGTTACTGCCAGAGAACGAAAATCGATATTTGTGTACCCTTATGTGGCTCTTAAATTCACTCTCCTTCCACGACAGAAAATCCGTATACAGATCACTTTCCCTGTCAAACTTCCAAGTTGATCTTTTGAATTGTAATTGATTTCGCATATTCAATAAAGAACCAATAATCAAAAAAAACAATCGTCTACGATGTCTGCGATTTTTCATGAGACGTTCCCACCTTGATTTTCTTCTTTGTTTCAGTCTAAGATATCTCTTTCCTTTGTCGATGTAGCAAATTATGATGACATTGTAAATTGACTTGGAAAAGATAGCGAAGGAAAAGGAAAAATTTGCATAGTGTTGCTTTCTCCATTTTGATAAATGTTCAAAAGGTGACGTAATTAATTTTAATGACGTCATAATACAATTAACGTCGTCAATTTTTTTTACAATCTTGCTCTTCGTAACCTTGCCATCAACATAATTTTCTGAATATTTTCTGAATATTATTATTTTTTATCGTTCAGTTTAAAAAATAAACTTGTATACTTTCAGTTAAAGATACATGCATACTTTGAACCAATTATTTACATGTGATGCAGCCTTTACGTATTTTCTGTTCTGAGCAGTTTCAATAAATTTTTGTGTTAGAAAAAATATAGCAATTTTAATATTGCTTTTACTAATTGGTTAATATCATTATTATTTCTTTTGTCTTAGCCATTGCTTAATTTCTCGCACCTGCTTACCTGGAAATATTTACAAATTTAATGCGAATTAGTTTACTTCGCATAAACGTCGTGTGAACGCTATTTAATTCGCATTAATTTAATTCGCATTAGTTTACTTCGCATTTACTTCGCATTAGTTTACTGCGAATTAAACTCGTAGTGTGAACAGGGCATAAAAAAGTAATTGAGAAATTTTTCTGTTTTAAATAGTTAAGCACGTCTCTCCTCTTTTCTAGTCCCCCAAGCCCTCTACAATTAAATGTTAAAATATTAAAACTCATTTCACTATTCCGTAGCCACCTGTATTACACAATCTAACTATGCTTTGACAAGTAAATGTTGTCTAAAAACAAAATTGTACGTTCAAGGCATTTTCGATCGAAATAAAATTTCTTTTCCAACAAACAAACATACATACATCTTTCACACAAAGACAAACACAGACAAACAAACAAAAATATTTGCATAATTCCTGGATGGCTCACAAGTTGACAAGTTTAATGTTACTTATACCTTGTTTTGACTTTCGTTGTCATCACAGTGACAGTCATGTCCATTTTATTTCACCGGATATACATGCGTCCTCGACTAACTAAAGAACCAAGTCCGGATCGCCTCATCTTTTCCGTATTTTCTTGTCAATATCATCGTATAAATCAAATTTGATTCTTCGTTTCCCGCATTCTCCGTAAATGTGCCCATTAAAGTACCATGCCGCGGATATTCTGTGGTCCTGCAGGAGTCTTGTTATAAGGGCTGCATTCTCTTGTGTCACGTCATCCGTTACTTTGACCTTGACATCATTCTGTAACTCTAGTTCTTTAATGTCCGATCGCTTCTTCATGACCTTTACTTTGGCTTCCACGGTTTTAAGCTTTATTATAATTGGCCGATGTTGGTCTTTCTTTCCTGGAATCCTATGGATTGCTAGAACGTCATCTTCTTTAATCTGTTCGCCCACTTCCTCGAGCACTTCATTCACAACCTGTAAGGGTTCTTCCCCTTTCTTCTCTGGTAAACCATGAATTTTTAAATTATTCTTCCTCGAATATTGTTCATTGAAATTTGCTTTTGAAATTGCTGACCTTGTCATCCATTCGTTTTCTTCCGTTCTGTTATGCAAGTCGTTTAATACTTCTTCGTGTTCCCTAATTTCTTTCTGCAAATCTTTGTTTTCTTGATGTAGTTTCTCATTCTCTTCTCTGAGTTTTACGACTTCATCGTTCAATTTCTTCTCAAACTTTTCTTGGTACCTACTAAATAATTTTTCTACAACACTTCTCACAACTGTTTGAATATCACTAACCTTTATTGTCTTTTTGAGTTCGTTGTTAATCTCGGTCAGCTGTGTTTGAATTGAATCCATTGTTATTTGCATGGAATTTTCCTGCGTACGTTTTGGAGAGGACTCAGAGGAAAGAATTCCCTTCTGGCTATCCTTTTGACCGTCTTTTGGAGATTTGCTAGTAGCTGGAGTAGAACCTTTACGAGTAGTAACACCAGTAGAAGGCATCTTAAAATATTTGTCAATAGTACTCATGTAGATCTACGGGCTATAAATAGATTTTACTCACTACACTATCGTTTCGATCTAATTCCTTAAAAATACCACTCCTAGATTTCAAATAAGGAAACCACTGCATGTATCCGCCCTGAGCAAGTCTGAATTCACAATTTGACCATGTTTCAGTCCTATAAAACTTGTCAACTCGGCCGCTCCACGCTCCCTTACTCGACGCGTCTTACCTCGAGCGGCGCCATTTTGGAATCCCACAAGTCAGAGTTATCTTTCTTTGCCCACCTTATACATACTACGTAAATAGAGAAAATGATGGTACCGAAAATATACAAAATGCGGTATCTGATTTAAAAACAAATTATATATCTAGTATTTGTAGAATAATCTCTGTTTTGCATACGAATATCTTGAAAAAAATATCTAAATCAAAAATTAAAAATTGCCGAAAAACAAATTCACTTCCGGTTCGGACAGGAAGTACTGAAAACACACGAAAACTACTTCAAAACAAATAGAATATCAAGATCTAATATTCCTGTAAATTTCATATCTTTACCTCAAACCGTTTCTGAGAAAAATGCTGTACAAAAGTCCATTTTAAAATTCGAAAATTGGCCATAACTTCGGACCGGAAGTGAATTTTTCAAAAAACGGAATTTTATATAAACTTCATATATCAACCTACTAACATGAGAAAAATTGTGAAAATCTATTCAGTCATCTCTGAGTAATCGAGCTCACAAAATTTGGGAGGAATAATAATAATAATAATAAAAAGAAACAACACAAACACTATAAGTCTTCCGTTGTGAACGGAAGACTTAATAATAATAATAATAGGGAAAAAGAAACCGAAGAATAACAAGAAGGTCTTCCGTTGGAGACGGAAGACCTTAATAATAAGAAACAGTAGAATCACTATAAGGTCTTCCTTGAAGACGTAAGACCTTAAAAACAGTGGAAAAGAAACCAACGAATAACAAGAAGGTCTTCCGCTGAAGACGGAAGACCTTAATAATATTTACCAACAGAATCAGTAGAAGGTCTTCCGTTGGAAACAGAAGACCGTAAAAATTGGTTTTTCAATGAAATATATAGTGTAAAAATGCAATTATGACTCACTTATGGCCATATACTGTACCTTAAGGTATACTTGCATTGTACTTAATGTGTGTGTGTGTGTGTGTGTGTGTGTGTGTGTGTGAGGGTGTGTGTGTGTGTGTGTGTCCAGCCATGAATATGGATAGAGTATTGAGTGTTTGTCTTGTCTGTGTTTAGTTCATGTTCAAAGAAACTGGACAAGATACAGAAGTACTTTTTTTGTTTGGTATGAATTTACGCTTTGTGCGCGGTCACAAATTTTCCTCGGAAATTTGTCCCATCGTACTTAAAATGCATAAAAGGCTAATAGTGAGAGTCTAAGAAATCCGCATAATTTTCTACCCATGGAATTAACAGAAATAGTGATTCCGCGGAATTATGACCCGGTGGAAAAAAGTATGTTTACAGTGTTTGTATTTTTACCAATACTCAGACTGACATTTACTGGTGAGAACTATATGAAAAATTTCTTAATGTAACATTGGTCCCCCTCAACTTTGGTCTCATCATCCCTGTTTTGTTTTTAATAACTGTTTCAAAGCAACTGTTCTTGTTGTTCTAAATGAAGATCTTTTACACAAACTTTTAATACTCTAGTAAGATACAAATTAGCGAAAGCAATTTAACTGTTAATTGGATATATATATATAAAAGCCCCGGAACCTGAAACCCCGGAACATGGTTTCATGCAAGGTCCCTGTAATCATATATAAATATATATATATTGAAAGGAAGCGCGAAAGAAGTGGACACCAACACATCAGTAGTTCTGACACAACACATTTATTTAAATACAACAAGAAACTTACAAAACAGTGGTCAGAAATTTCTGAGCCTGAGTCTCCTAATGTATTTGGGTCTGGTAGATCCTCTTTTTCTGCCCTTTTCTGTTTTTGTGCGCGGAGAAGTTCATCCTTTTTTCTGCCGTCCACCAATTTACCAGTGATGGATACTGGCCTTGAATTAATCGTTCCTCTTACGCTATTTCTGTGTATTCGGACGAACTTCACCTCAACCCCAAGATATTCCTTCAACATATTAGGAACCTGTTGATCCAGCTTTTCATCAGATGCGTATGCTAAATTATGAATCATAATATTGTCACGCATTGAACGCGATCTCATGTCTGTGATTTCTGACTCCATGTTCTGCATTCTGCGGTCCATATTTATCATCATAGCACGCATTAGATCAAGTTCACTGCGTAATTGTGCATTCTCTGATCTCACATAATATAGTTCATCACTGTTACTTTCAGATTGCTCTGCGACATACTTCAAGGAAGTCGTTAGCCCAGTTTCATGATCTTCGATCAATGACGTAATCCTTGTTAATTCGCCCTCTACATGCTCATATTTCGGTAACTTTTTACTTATACCCTGCAACGTTTTCTGTACATTTTAAGGCCGTTTTCTATAGATTCAACTTTTTCTTCCGCTATTGTTCTTTCTGTTCTTTCTGTCGATTCCTCGGGTGAACTCTGTTCAGTTCTTTTGTTCTGTGAGTTGTTTACGGTATTTCCAGAGCGTCTACCTTTAGCTTTACCGGCCTTTGAAGACATTTTTCCCTTTTTGCCGCTAAAGTCTGAATGTAACAAAGATATTCACAGATAATCACAGAGAACACACTTAAATACAATCCCTGGACAAGACATATAAAAAAATTCGACCTACATCCACCTTAAATCGACCAACTTTACTGAGCCGACACTTACACGTCCATGTTGACCGATCACCGAAATGAAATTTTGTTATCTGAAAAGAATTTTTATTAAAATCACTCTGCATAGTATGTGTGGTGGTTTTTACATTTATTTAATTGTATGTGTGTGTAATTACAGTGTATTTGTGTATATGTGCCATATTTTATTCATATTTCCTTCAATTTGTTATTACTTGTTGTTTAGAGTTATTCCCCTTTGTTTATAATCCCTCCGGGTGGGGCGCGCCCGGGTCTACAGTACCCGGCTTGGATTTACTATTATTATATGTTATGTACATTTCGTGTAATCAAGAGCAGTCATCAGTATCATTAATCATCAATTAGACGTATTTTGGGGACTGGGGCTAAATTTCTAACTACAATAATAGTAATTATCTTATTCATGGAATTTATATGATATTGTTTCATATTAATTTTGTTTTACTTGATTGTTATTTGCAACAGAATATTATACAATTATTGCTGTGTTTTGAGGTCAATACAATGATTTAGCCATCTGAGGAGTACAATATTCACCGAGCCCGGAGGGCGAGGTGAATATGGTACTTCGAAGATGGCTAAATCATTGTATTGACCGAAAAAAACAGCAATAATTGTTTTATTATATGATTCACTAATAAAATGATAAAACCCATTACTTGTTTGCATTTAATTAAGTCCTATCCAAATACAATTAAGAGAGAAGCAAAATTAAAATGTAAATCAACCTAACATGTCATATTAATTTTTTAAAGAGTTTTTAAAATCAATTTTAGTTGCCATGAAAAAAAATTATGTCAGTCTTTTTTCTAGTATAGAGTTTTAAAGGAAGGAGTATTATCAGGGAAAACTGACTGCCAAAAAGTAAAAATTGTTTTTCAGTAAAAGTGTTGGAGGAGTGTCCATGCATCCCCTCTTATCACCCTCACCCGAAAATATATATTCGCTTAACTTATCTTCACATGAAAAAAAGTTATAGTAGTTTAAATAGCTTTCCAAATTCAATTTGTATCAATTTGGAATATCCCGATCTATTTTTAGATCAATGTCAAGGAAATAAATCCTTGTATTGACCTGGAACGTCACGTGCAGGTCAATACAACGTAGTATTTTTCTAACATAGTTGGATCTCAGCCAATCAGAGAGATGAAAACTATTCAATCATATAATAAAGAATCTTATTCTTTAAACACTGAAATTCTTGTTATTCTTTTATCCTTCTGAACTCGGACTTATGTACGGGACTAACCCCTAGACAGTCCCGTTACATAGATATTTTTGGGGGCTCGTTCCGAGTATAAAAGAATATTTCGATGTTTTATCTTGGATTATTACACGTCAATTTTTACGCGGCACCTGTAAGCTAAAAATTTGGATCTGCCAAACATTTTTTTGAAACTTTCAGAGGGAGGTCTTTACAAACTGCAAGCAAGTCAACTTTGATGAGGGAAAAAGGCTTTAATTGTCGCATCTTTAGAACCAGTCTCTCAAATTTTAATAGTTCATCAGATAAAGGCACTAAACCAAAATTTGATTTTTTAATTTTAAGAAATACATTACGTAAGAGTAGGTAATCTAATTAAAGAGAAAATAGTTACTATACATACCCCGTTTTTGAAGTTTTCAGTCTGTAGAGTTGGTTGTTCTCATAGGAAAAAGACTTGGCCTGCTTCCTAATTCGCCTCTTCTCGTTCTCGGGGCAGTTACTGGGGTACTTGCCCGTAGACAGGTAGTGACACCTTCAATGGTTGGAGGTAGAATGGCAAGTGGCAGACATATGACAGATATCGCGATTCAAGCATTGAAGCAATAGCCGGAACCTAATTTACACATCTTGTTTTTTGAAAAAATTCACATGAATATCAATGTATATAATCACACATACGAATATGAAAATTTATTCAAATATATGTGGCAGTTGGCGGTAAGCAGTTCGCAGTAAGCAGTTAGCAGAAAGCAGTTGCATTGGCGGATCCAGAGGGGGGGTTCCGGGGGTTGGAACCCCCCCTTTATTTTTTGGAGAGTGAGAGGGGATAAAACGTTTTCCGAGATTATTTACATTTGTATTTGTACGTCCCACTTATTTATTGAATACAGAGATTCTCACACATTAAGTTTCCTCCAGTCACCTTCTCTATTATACTTTTTTATGAGAGAATGGTAGAAAATATTCTACTTATTTTTATATATCTAGATCTTGTATGTAGCATGCGAAGTTTAATATGATATTGGATTCCCGCGATCTTTGGCTGTGTTGGCTATACTTGTACCGTTTTTTATCATATCTAGATCTATTGAAGGAACTAACATATAACTCTGTTTCAAAGCCCACCCGCATCCCACCCCAAAAAAAGTTTTTCAAATTCTTAAAGAAAATTCTTTATACTCTTCGGAAATGATACAAATCCATTCAATTTTAAGGCTTCCGTAGTTTTTGAAACGTGTTTTTTTTTTTGGTTTTGTTTTGTTTATTTTGTATTTGTTATTTTGTTCGTACTGGGGGTACGCTTTAAAAAAAAAAAAAAAAAAAAAAAAAAAAAAAAAGGCCATAAAACAAAGATAGTATTTAGATATTTCCATACAAGTCTGTAAATCTTTGCTTGAGAGTAGGTATTTTTTTTGGGGGGGGAGGGGGGTAAGAGGGGAACAACCCTGGAACCCCTCCTTTCAAAAATTGCTGGATCCGCCCCTGAGTTGGCTGTCGTTGTGGTTGTTAACATGGTTAATGGAATTCCATTAAAAAAAAAAAAAAAAACAGCCGCACATTCTCTGATTCTGGACTGCATGAAGGTGAAATTAAAAACTTCAGGAAAATAAAACAGATTTCAATTTAAACTTAATAAAGTTGAATATTTGCAACAATTCCATTTCATTCAAGAATATCAGTTCATCGGTAACGGGATGTTTCGCGCCAATGCATGGTTCGCACCGCGATGTTTCGCGCCAATTCTGTTTCGCGCTGAGATGGTTCGCCCCACGATGTTTAGCTCCCAGAACATAAAATGTATGCTATTTATTTCGTTCGTTTTGCAAAAAAAAAAAAAAGAATTATATTATAATATCTGTAAATATTGATGTAAGTATCGAAATTTTGTAGAATATTAAATGAACATTAAATTTGACAATCAAACTTCCTGGTGGGTTATTCTATACACATGTTCTCAATAACACAAATTATATGTTTTCAAGTTCACACAGATAATTGCTGTACAACTTTATAATTGCTATAATGAAATAATTCTCACCTTTTGATCTCCAACTAATTACAATTAAATTGTTGAACACAAACGCTGAGCAAACGGGCACATTATTATTATAACATTTACGATCCGTTACCTGTGGCACCGCGTATTATTAAAAGTCATGATTTTGAGCATACAACACATATTTTTATCTAAGATTTAATAAATGATCTTAAATTATTGCAAAATAAATGAAATATAAAAAAAAGAGGGGAGATGTTTCGCGCCGAAATCGGCGCGAACCATCGGAGTGCGAAACAGAATCGGAGCGAAACATCCTGGATTCGAAATATCAGGTCATTCAAAATTATCAGGTCATCAAGTTTTGTGAATATACCTTGATATATAGCAAAATAATCTACATATTATCCACTAAAAATGTATATTTATTTAATATAGTTTCAGCTATATCATCATTAATTTTCCCCCAAAAATATGAAATAGAAAGTTAAAATTGATAATTTAATATGATATTTTTTTCATCAGGTCAAATATCAGGTCTTTAGTATGTTCCGTGCTGCGCTTGCTATTTAATGGATTCTGAAAATTTCATTTCGATCGATAAAGTATTAAGACGGAAAAATGAAAAATCTCGAGTTGCCCCGGCTTTTAATTTGCCCCGGCCCGGATTTGCCTACCCATTTTACCAACACTCTTGAACACAGGAAGTTCGAAATATATCGGGCTCGAAGTTTGACTCTGGAACCATGGAGAGACATTTCGTTTGAAAATGGCGGCACCCGAAAAACTATAGTTGATAGGGTTTCAAAAATTTTAATCGATTTAGCTACAATAAGAAGTAAACACAAATAAAAGGTATGTAAACAGCTATGGTTACATATATTTTACGTATACTATTTCAAACCATAAAAGCATGTGTTTAAAATTGTATCTCCAACATGTCCAGGAAAATCACTATATTCAGCTATATAGCTAAATCTACCTATATAGCTTTATTTACCTATATAATATAGCTTTATTTAGCTATTTCAGAGTAAATATCTGTTTTATGAAAAGCAGACAAAAAGTCGCATAATGAGTCAATATTAGTTTTCAACTTTGAAGTGGACTGAAAACAATTCACCAAAAACCCACTTATAAAAATGTTTCTCCTTTTGTGCAATTGCAATCAAAGATCTAAAAGTTTTGGGGCTATGTTTAACAGTTAATCTGTGAGTAAGCAGCTACTTTAACAAAGAAAAGCAGTTTTGGTCAACAAGATAATTGATTGGTAATAATTGAGCACAATGCAAGGCAATCACACTTAGTCATGCCTCACCACACTTCCAGCTATCCAAACAATAGAGATGCGTTTTTTGGTTAAAAAGTGTTAAAAAGAGGCAATGATTTTACTATCTATGCCTAAGGTTGTTTTTATCAAACCTTTTTAAAAAAATATCAGCCATACATACATGTGACTTTTTGTCTGCTTTTCATAAAACAGAAACTTATTCCAAAATAGCTAAATAAAGCTATATTATATAGGTAAATAAAGCTATATAGGTAAATCAAGCTATATAGCTAAATATAGTGATTTTCCTGGACCTGTCCAATACACAGGCACTTGTTTCGGAAATAAATTTTTAACCCATATATAGTAATATTAGTTATCCAGGTT